TCAGAAATCATTCTAATATACTGATTTACTGCTCAATAATTATTACCAATGCTGAAAACAGTTGTGCTGCTTATTATTTTTGCAGAAACCATAATACTTTGATTCAATGAATAGAAAGTTTAAAAAGAACGTCATTTGTATATGAAATAGAAATGTTTTTGTAATATCATAAATGGCTTTACTGACACATTTGATCAGTTTAATATCAGTGTTTTTTGTTCTCGTCTTCATTATCTTTTGACTAAATCAAAGTCAGTCATAGAAATGATCACTGAATACATGTCAGATAATGTCGGTTCATTAAGTCTTCTGTGAATCAGCAACGCTTTGCTCTGCTCATGCGGTTTCTTTTTCCCTCTCTGTGTGATGTTTCCTGGCTGCCGGTATGGAGGGATGGGAACGGCAGATAGTTGGAGCGGGAGAAAAGAAGAGAAAAAGCTGAGAGAGGTGGAGCCTGCAGCACAGTTTGAGAGCCTCTCTGCTGCCGGCTTCTCCTTTCCTCTTCCTCTTTTGTCTGTGCGCTTTGTGTCTTCATTTGTGCTGCTTTGTCTTGACAGTGAGCGAGTGCATGCAGCACATCACGTGATCACGCTCTGCTCTTCAAGCTGCTGTCTCTGTGAATCAGGGCCTTTTCTCATCACAGCGCCTGTATCCTATACAAGATGTGTACAGCTACAGCAAGAGAACTTGTTCCAGTCCATCAACATGTTTATGTGGAGTACAGAGCTTTAGGCTGTTTTCAGCGAGGTCCAGTGCGTAGAGGTTGTTGTTTGAGAACAGACAAGAAGTTGCTTGTTTCGTAGTTTAGTCAATTTACAAGCATGCCGAGGGAAATGTAGATGGTCATGTTGAAATTAAATTTGTGTGAATGTGGCTAAGGACATTTAATTTATTTAAAAATAGCCCTCTGACTGAATGTAAGTGCCTTTCCAGGTTATCTTGAGATACCAGTGATACAAGAGCTGATACAATGTACCAAAATAAAAAAATCTGTCCTGAATGTTCAGTGGCATTTGAATGCATTGAATAATGCTTTCAGAATCGGATCAGTAACTACTCATTAATTAGAAAATGTGCAAACATTTCAAAGTTACGAAGTTATTACTATATTTACACCCTTTTAATATTTGTTTATTTAAAAAAAAATATTTTAAATTGTGCATGAACCACTAAAAAACTGTCAAGTTATTACTACATTTATCCCTTTTTTATTATTTATTTTTCTTTAATAATTAAAAAATTTTACATTTCAAATTGTACATGAACTACTACAAAACTGTCATGCAAGTAAAAAATATTTTTTTCAATATTCATGAGAAATATATTATATGTGACATAATTATGTAATTCATAACATATGATCTGAGAATTATTTTAAGATTACATTAGAATTAAATTAAATGCTTTTGAACTTACAACTTTATGAAACCTTGCATGTTGATTTTCTAACAAAACAATATAAAAACCACATTAATATTACTCTGCAATGTTTTTTTTTTTTAATCCTTTTTCTTGCATACATGTTCATATTTGGATGAAAAAGTGGGGAAATATGGCAAAGAGAGTAAATATATTTTACAAAAGTATTTTTCAAAAACGGATAAAAAAAAAACAATGTAAAGCCTCAGTTGATACCCGATTCAAAATGAACAGCTCGGTCATGAAAAACCTGGAAAAGTCATTGAACAGCAATTTCCAGGTTTATGTAAAAATAACTAAACTCAAAAAGTTTTTGAAAAATCATGAAAATATATTTCACAATTCTCTGTTTAATAGATGTATCTATGTATCTATCTATCTATCTATCTATCTATCTAGATTTGGATCAGAAACACTCAGATTTATCTACGCCTCATTCAAGTTGTTTCAAGCTCTATTATCAGCAGAACTTGCTTACATGTTTTTCGGCAGTGGCCTCAAACACCCGCTGCAGTCATGCAATAGCGCCAGATTCACGAATGACTCACAGTTTGATTCAAGAGTCATACAAATATGTTGCGCTGACCAGCGGATTCATCTAGAGCAGATTGCTTCAGGACTTCACTGTCCTGCAGGAAGGATGACGCAGAGATGTTCTGTGATGTTCATTCCCATGGCGTTAGCTGGTTGATGAATCATACATTAGAGCAGCATTCAAAGTCCAAACCCTCACAAGGTTATCAAGGGACGGCGCCACAATCCAGGCCTTTCTGAACAGGCTTTATTTGCCGTTTCTGTGTGTACACCACAAAAAAAAACAAAAAAATGGTTCACTATGATAATGGATGAATCGGTGGGCTTAAAATTGTGATTTCCAAGACTGGATAATTTTTTGTAGATTTTAATCCTGAATGTTGTTTTATTTTATTTTATAAACTTAAAAAAAAAAATGTTCTGTTTATGATCTGTATAGAAGTTCAGAATGCTGAATCTTTCATCTTTTTTTGTATTTTTGGAGAGTTTTGTACACAAGCATAATTGTTTGCATCCAGTAGCTTTCATATATATGGACATTTTCCCCAGCAAATAATTTTACGATTCTTATTCCGTGATCATGAAAAAGTCGTTGAAAAGTATTGGTCAGAAATGGTAGGGAGCCAGTTTCAAATGAATTCGACTTAACTCAGTGGCTTAACCTTTTGACTCCAAGGCCCCCCATCTTCCACAACATCATTCAATAGTCACATGACTTTTTTTAGTTGTTTAATTAACTGAAGTATTGTTGTTTATTTATTTATTTATTTATTTTTGAAATATATTTTAGAGCTTGGCATAACTAGAAAAATGCATTATTATTTTATTATAAAAGTATACTAAAATATATTATTTTGTATAAAAGTATACAAAATAACCGTAAAATGATAAGATTTGCTTAATTTATATAATTTTTTTTCATGTCTAGAAGTCACACTTTCATAATTATTCAACGTAAAAAAACATATAACTGAAATAAATGAACTTTTCCATGACATTCTAATTTATTGAGATGCACCTGTATATATACAAAAAAAAATTGAGTGGGTAAATTAGATGAAATATCAAGAAATATCTTGATTTTGAGTTTTTAACTTATTTTAACACTTACTTAGTCTTTTTTTTCCCCATAATTTTCGCAAAAGATTTTTAAAGAACCATGTTAACGCCATGGAAATTCATTGATTAGGAAGAGTGGGAACACTGCTATTAAGACGTCATTTTATTCACTGACCCCATAGTCACCGAGCATTTACACTACCAGTCAAAAGTTTGGAGCAATTATTATTTTTTTAAAAATGTTTTTGAAAGAAGTCCCTTGCGTTCACCAAAGCTGTATTTACGTGATCAAAAATACAGTAAACAAACAGTAACATTGTGACATATTATGTAAGGGATAATGTACATCCAGCCGGTTGTTATCGCTGAATAACCCCCGACAGGGTGATCTGGACCCCGACGCGAAGCGGAGGGCCTTGTATCATCCTGAAGGGGGTTATTCAGCAATAACAACCGGCTGGATGTACATTATCCCGCTTATTACACGGCTACTTGCCACATAAGTAAATAATTAGACATGAAATATTGATTTGAGTTGAAATATTTGAACGCAAAGCTTCCGTGAACACATCAGTTCTGGCAAGCGGCAAGTTCAAACTAGATGGACATTTAAGGGATACGGTGCAGTCACACCACTTATTACACAACATTTCACCACATTAGTAATTATGGCGATAAAAGATTTAAGACGAAAATGTTTTAAAATCTTGCCAGTTTGTTAGTTATCTTATAATCCACTACAGCGTACAAAACAATCGTAGCAGAATGGCAGCAGCTGTGTTTGTATGAAAGGAGAGAGCGAATTGAGTTTTAAAAATTTATTTGCGAACCAAACGCAAAGCTTCCACCAACAAAAAACTGTTCCTAGCAAGAGTATAGCGCCGACTTCAGTTACCCGGATGAGCCTGTGTTATCAGCTTTTACCGGTTGTTATCGATAGGGTTGGGTATCGTTTTTTTTTTCTTTTCGATACCGGTGCCAAATCGATACTTTTAAAACGGTTCCGGTGCCTGAACCAATACTTATTAAAAAATAAATAAATAAA